AGGAGCCTGAGAAACACAGTGAGAGCTGAGCGGAGGAGCAAGTGGGACGCTGCACGTGGAAACGTCTGTGTGTGACCAGTGGCCATGGTTGAACAGCCAATGTGCTCAGGGCCTTTCAAGATGGGCCACTATCCAGATCAGGAATTTTGAAATTTGGGGGAGAAAGAATTTGCTTAGTGAAGTCACTGGGCTTTTTAGCTCCTGGTGCCACCTGGACGGTGGTGTCCCGCTGGGCCTGTCGCGAGGTAACGACTAAGGCTGAGACCCTGCCATGGGCAGGAGAGGTCCTGGCCCCGTGGGCCCCGTGGGCCCTGTGGGCTGGCTCCCGCGGTGTGGCCGTGGAGCCCGCGTGTGTGAATGACCCCCTCTGCGTCAGTGCCCGCGCCAGGGGCTCCCGACGGGCTCAGCTCCACTGACTGCACTGGAGCGGGCACGGGCGAGGCGGGCTCTGGAGGAAAAGGTTCACGTCGAGGACCTTTACACATCTGGACGGCACCGATGAGCCGCCCTGCAGCGTCAGTCTCACGTCCTTCAGGCGCCTGTGGCTCTTTCCATCTTCCTGATAGGGGACCCGTTGCGGGCCAGCCTGCAGCCCCCGAGTGCCCCCCACCCTCGCTGGTCAGACCCATTCTGCTTGCCTGGGGGACGGGGACTGGACGCCGACACCATCCCGACCTGCCCCAAGCTGCACAAGGGCCCTTCCTGAGGCAGGGACACCCCGGGCCCTGTTCCTGCTGGCCGGGTCGACGGAGTGGCCTGGGGCTGGGGTGGCCTGTGCTGAGACCCTCCCCTCATGTCCACACGGAGTCGTGGGACCATTTTCCTGTGGCTTTGAGCAGGGCAAGAAGGTGCTGGAGAGGGATGGGGAAGCCATAGGCCTGGTCTGGAGCCCAGGAGGAGGGGTGGCCAGCCACAGGGGTGGGGACAGCCGGTCCGGGGTCCGGGGTCGGTGGCCGGTGCTGCCTTTTCAGCTCTGTGCTCATTGGTCCTTCTCTTCACTGGGGACATCTGCAGACCTGCTGGCCACGTTAAGTCCTGCTGCCCACCCCCTACCTTCTCCCTGCCAGGCCCAGCTAATCCACGACAGGAACACTGCGTCCCACACTGCGGTGGCCAGCAAGACCCAAGCCCCGCCCACGCCGGACAAGGTGCAGATGACCTGGACGAAGGAGAAGCTGGTCGCCGAGAAGCACAGGAACAAAGATGCCGGCGTGACTGGGCTCAGAGACCTCTTCAGCCTGAAGCCGTGAGTGTCCGTGGGCGTAGCCTCGGGGGCAGGGCCTGGTCGTACTGTCCCGACAGTGCCCACTGATGAGCTTCAGGGGAACCTCAGACAAGAGGCCCATTAGAGAGCAGGGAGCCCGGCCGAGGCCCGCACCCTCCTTTGGTGCCAGCCGACCGGGCGCCAGGGTCAGCGTGAAGCCGGGGCTCGCGCTGTTCTGCTTGGTTAGCGGGTCCCACCGCCTCGCTGCGGAGTTTGCCCATCTCGGAGCAGGAGAGGCTCTGGGTGGACTCACACCTCTGGCTGTCACCCCTGTGATAGCTGAGGCTGCCCGTCTGGCCCCCAGGGCCTCCCCCCGACACTTTGGCTCCCCCCTGGGGCCTTGTGCTGAGAACCCCCAGGGCCGGCCGTGGGGGTGCGGGTGTGGCCGTTCCAGGGTCCAGTCCTACTGACGCAGTCTCCCACCTCCACCTCCGTCTCAGAAGATTGATCTCCACTGGGGTCTTTAATGGTGGTGCCAAGCCCAAAAGCCCCACATCCCCAGGCAGGGAATGAGAGGTCAGGGGGAGAGGTGAGGCCAGCCACTGTCCTGGCTCAGGGGCACCCGGGTGTGCCGGTGATTTCTTTACGGTGTGCATCGTGCGTGCTCCTGCAGTAACATGTTCTCTGTGTTTTTCTCTTCCATGTAGAGAGTGGGGAAACCTGTAAGTGCACTTGTTTGTTTCGGCTACTGCTTGCACCTGGCTGCCCTGCATGCCTGCGTGTGTGTGGCCCGTGTGTGTGCCTGCGTGTCTGTGTCCGTGTGCTGGCAGAGCGTGCCCGGCGCCGCTGTGGCTTCACGATCAGTCCCCTGTGTCATTTGCTCCCCTCTGTGCACAGCAGCTCTCAGGGCACATGCCCGAAATTCCTTCTCTAAGTAACGCTCAGACACTGAGACCGGGGAGGTTGGCCTGAGCCGTGTGCTTCCGTGTGCTTCCCAGCGGTGTGTGGTGAGCTCATCCACGTCCCTGCAGGTCGGGCGGGACGCGCAGAGTCACAGTTCTGTGGGGATGGTGTTTAGTCCCTTTCCCCAACACTCGGTGCCTTTGTAGTTTTCTCCTGCTCCCCTTGGGAAGAAGCCATCTGCTCTCTAATCTGCACGTGAAAGGGACGTGGATCAGTTCTCTGTGTGGCCAAGCCCTTGAGCAGAAGCTGCCTGCGTCTGAGCTCCGGGGTACAGCAGGGGTCCTGGGCCCGGGTGCAGGCCAGGGCGTCCCGAGGATCCCCCCTGAGACGGCTCGCGGGCAGTGCCATCTTTGTCTTGTTCCGTGTCCCCTGGGCTGGGTGTTCCCTCGAGGGCAGGTGGCGTCCAGGGCAGTGTTAGAGCTGGACACCAAAGAGGAGCGCCTTGTCTAAATGGCTGCACTTCTGTTTTTTTAACCCCAAACCCAAATTATCAGATGCTGAGGAAACTGCAGTGTTTGGTCCATCTTGGGAGCTGAGCCCTACAGATGTGTAGGAGAACTGTGGGGTGGGGGACTCTCCGCAGTTTTTGCTCTGTTATTCTGTAAGTCTAACAGTACCGCCAAAAATACAAACAAAAACCCCCAGAAAAACATGTAGACAGAGAAAGAGGTTTGACCCCACCCCCCACATGCACGCACATGTGCGCGCACGTGCACACAGACTCTCGTGGTCGGCCCCTGTGTGTCTTCCCAGTGCATGGACTGGCCTTTCTTGAGGGTCAGAGTGGGTCCCAGCAGGCCTGTGGAGCCAGAAAAAAGTGAACCAGGATGGACATTTATGGACTTGACATTAGACTTGGGCGTGCGCTTGGAACATGGCTGTGCCTTCCTGGTCTGGCATTTTCTCAAGAGTGAGGCTGGGAGAAGCCTCGGAAGGTCTGAAGGTCGGGCCCCACCCTCTTGTGGTCAGCCCAGACGTGAGATACGCATGAGTCACTGTGGCGTCCCCAGGAGCACACTTAGGGTGTTCCTGTGCATGCCTGTGGGCACGTTCTCATACATGGGTGTGTTAGTGTGCATGTTTGTGTGTATCTGTTAGCGTGTCTGTGTACACGTGCATGTTGTGACAGTGATGCTTGTGTATGTGTTAGTGTGCATGCTTGCGTACATGTAGAGTGTGCGTGTGGATGAAGGTGTTAGTGTACATGTTAGCGCACGTCTGTCTCTGCATGTTCATGTATGTCTGTGTTTCCATCTTTGTGTGCTCCCTTCGGTCCTCCTTGCCTGAAATGGTGCCTACTCCACCAGGTGCCGAGGGTGGGATTTCCGCCTTGCCCAACACACGCTGGCTGTGGACACATTGTTCACTGCAGCCCTCTTCTCCTGGGGCTGTCACACTGCATCCCGGACTCTAATTCCCGGCCTCAGAAAACCCTGTATTGAAAGCTCTTCTCCAGATAGAGCCGTAGTTACGGTGCACTTTCCTTGCTTTGTCCATTGCTGGCCAGGTGCTGGGTGGAGACTCAGGTTTCCATTAGCTTTCTAGAAACGCGGGCACACTCCTGACCCTGCCCATGCCTCTCTGGCCTCCATCTCTGGCCTCCATGGGGATGTGTCGTCCTAGAGCCCAAACCTTTCTAGACCCAAACCTCTGATTTTTAAAATTGTATGTGACTTCCAAGCTATCTCTTAACCCCGACAGATCCTTTAATGTCACACACACACATTTCTGGAATTGCCGTTTGTCCCCCAGCACACAAGTAATTGTGGTCTGTCCAAGCAATGAATTGATGGTTCGTGATAATAATTTGTGATTCGTGATCCTCAATTGTGCTATGGAGAGAGACCTCATCTGTAATTTATCAGGCTGAGTTGGAGAGAAAAGATAAAAGGTCTGTGTCCCTGTTTTCTCCTGGTAATTGGTGGTTATGATCTGATTTATTTGGCTGAAGGGTCGAGTTGATCAAAGGGTTTGAGCCTGGGACATCCTGACCCCGAATGTGGTGGCTCGTTTGTCTGCCCATCCCCTCAGAAGAGCTGCCGTCAAACCCGCCTGGGGC